GTTTTTCAGTGATGTCATTTTTACGCTGTATTGATAATATATAACTTCTTATTAAGAATATATGGCCATATTTAGGAGTAATTTAGGAAAAATATTTAAATTCTATTTCTGAACATTTTAGGACTTCACAGAAAGATGCAGTGTCTTGTAAGTCTGTTTTGCCAGAGGTTACAGGCAGTAACATGTTTGGACGTGTTGACAGGGTCCTGCTCTCCTTTTTATATGGAAAAATGATATCAAAGCCAGAATGCTTGCAGAAAATCATACACTTCTACCTTTAAGATGAGTCACTTCCACCATGCTCAAATACTGTAAATATATGTATAGTGTGAAGTTTGTGTGTCACTCAAATCCTTGCATGATAGGTCAGTTCTGATTAGATATTTTAATTCAGCACAATCAATGCTGTAAGGTTCAAATATTTTTATTTCTGTAACAAAAAGAAAGTAAAAATTTGTTGACCAGTGTTATCGGTCATATCAGATTGCTGCAAGTCCCTTATACTGCCTGCAGTGTTTGTATCGCACTTGTAAATAGAAAACAGAGGCTTGAAAGATCTCGGGTGGTGATTATTTACTTCCACACAGTCTAGCTTATGTCATAAACGGAACAAATGCCCGAGTGCTTTTGTTTAAAGCATACCCAGGAAATCTCAGCTAAGGAATCAGGAATTATTTATACATGCAGAATTGTACCAGGATGATTAAGTCTGGAAGCAGGGCCAGAAACTGGATTTGGGCTATTAACATAGAGGCCTGAGCAGATAGAGGTGGATTTCAGCACCAGCTACAGATGGATTCATAGATAGATACATAGATATTGTTTAGGGAACCAAAGAGGGGCAGAGGCTTCAACAGCAGATCAATACCACCACTGTGCTAAAGAGGTATCATTTAGCACCGAAAGAGAGAGCCACAATGCATATGGCTGTGATCCATTTTGACTTTGGTAACTTACAAGCATGCCAGTTTGAACACACCTCTGGGAAGCCTGAAGAGGCCCAGACAAAGGACATCACTTTCTGGAGAAATGCTGTCTGTCTGGGCATTAGGAATCAACATTGAGTAGATGACATGTAATGGTGGTAAATAAACTTCTGTGCTGACATTGACTAGATGTGCAGTATGTATCATTCCAGCGTCTGCATTTTGTTTTTGGCTATGGATTGCAATTGGGGGGCGGGGGGACAGTACTTCTTTATTTTTTAATATTGCAGATACTTAAAATGTTAACCTTGAAGGAATTGAAATGACTTCTTGCTTCGTAAAAGTAGTTACTTTTATGACATTAAAAATAGATAAGGTTGTAAAGTTTTTTTTATTCGTCAGAATGGCATCCTCTAATGTGCGATACCCAGCGTTTAAATATTAGACAGAGCCCAGCTCCAGCTCCTTATGTCTAAACTGCACCTAGCCAGAGCTCTTCCTCCTTCAGTGTTAACCTTTCTTTCATAATTAAAAAAATTTTGGAAAAAAATCCAAAGTGAATAGCTTAACAAAATGTCAGTTTTGCACTAAAATCATGTTTTTTTCCCCCATCAGCTTTAATTTTCATTAGTAGCTCTGACCAAACATTACTTTCTCGAGTGGATGAGATATTCCTTCTTGATGTCTTGATTTTTGTCCCATGTTTTTGTACTTATTTTGCTTACTGTACTTCTACCAAAATTTCATTTACTACCTAGACTTAGTAAGATGTGTGTAAGAAGCAATATGTGAATATCTTGATATTTTTTTGCATTTTCACTGGGATGTTACGAATGAATTGGCATGAATAACTTGCGGTGAAAAGCCATTTTGATCCATTTTGAGTGATTAGAACTGTTGGCTGATACCTCTGGGACCTGGTTCAAGTCTCTGCCAGGGTTCCCTGTGTGTGGAGTTTGCATGTTTTCCCTGTCATCATGGGGTTTCCTGCAGGTACTCCAGTTTCTCCCACAGTCAAAAAACATGCTGAGGTTAATTGGAGTTACTAAACTGCCCATAGCTGTGCATGTGTGTGAATGTGCCCTGCGATGGGTTGGCACCCCAGCCTTGGTTGTTCCCTGCCTTGTGCCTGTAGTCTCTGGATCCCCCACTACCCTGAATAGGTTATAGAAAATGGATAGATAGTTGTTATATGTATTTATGATCACCAATAAACTAATGTACAGAGCAACTTCCTCAGCCCCACCCCCCATTCTGTGCAGAATCTAATTCTTATTTAGCCCCTGTAATAGACAATGCAACAGCAGTCATTCTGCAGCGGTATGCTCACCACACAGTAGCTAAGGTGATGAAGGGGCAGAAGAGAATTCACCAAATAGATAGGGCTACAGTAGGCAACTTTTTAGCCGGGACATCATGGTACCACTCCTACTCTTTTGAAAGATGCTCAGGCATCTTTTATGACCTAAGAGTGTCAGGATATCAGTTTTACATCTCATCCAAAAGATGGCACCATTTTTACAGCATAGTGTCCCCAATACTTGTACCGGGGCACTGGGATGGGCTCCACCTGTTGGCCACACCTACACCTCTTCCAGCAGGATCCCAGCCTTCCGAGTTGGTCTCCCATCCAAGTACTGACCAGGCCCAAACCTGCTTAGCTTCAGGAAGTTACCTAGTCTGAACTGCAACTGGTATGGCTCCTGGCTAGGGTTATTTTTATTTAGTGCCCAAAAGTACAAATGATGTAAAATGTAACCATTGATCCATGTTTTCTACCTCTGAGTGGGAAATGTAGCAGAATTTGTAGAATACAAGATAGAAAAGGAAACAATCGTATTGTAGGGGGAAAAAAAATCTGAGGGTCCAAATGGCTGCCACTTCCCCTGGCATATTAAGGTAAATCTTGAATTGAATGAGAATTGCTAGTAAGTATGAATGGGAATTGTAAGATAAAGGGATTACAGGATAGAGACTTACAATGGCTGTGTCATAGTGCCCGTGATAGGATCACCAGCCTTGTGCTGGTGACTGACTAGCCAACTGACTAACAGACTGACAAGCTTGGAAATTACTGGAAGGTTAAAGATTAAATCAGACTCCAAATTGGCAGACATTTTAACACTATAATAAGCTTATTGACATTTGCAAAATTAGTTCCATATACATACAGCAATGCTATGTATTCATACATATAAAAACATGCCTGACGTAAATGATTTATGCATACTACACATGTTTTGTACATTTTACTGTTTTTAATGCAATATCTATTTATATATAAATGTAAGCAAGTGTGGTCAACACATTGATTAGAAATTGGAGGTTAGGGTATTTTAGGGTCAAGACCGAATGCAAGTTTTGTTAGGCAGTGTAGGTAACAGGATCCAGTGTTTTCTTATAGTTAAATTGATTAAAAGAGCTACACAATTAGCAGTGTGTATCCTGTGCAGTAAATGATTTAAAATGAGAAATAACTACTTGTATCTGCTGTCAGTGTTTTTGTTTTTTTTCCTTTGTGGTGTCTGTCCTCATGGCGATTCCTGAGATTTATGTGGTGGCAACATTGATGCTAAATATGTCAGTGAGTCCTGCATCATACATAATTCAGTATTGCAGTGACAGCTGGAGGTAAGAAGTGCTGTTTCCTCATGACCAGAAGGTGCAGTTCTGTCCTTCTATGTGCCCAATCGGAAGCTAATAAAACAAGATCACAAAGGAGTTCATGAAATGTATTTTTCTTCTCTGATGAAATAGCCTTAAAAAGGGAAGACCAAATCCAGCCCTCTGGTTTTAGATAATGAGTAAATTTGCACATTTTACATGTGCTCTAGTTCAAATTTATTTTAAGCTCTAACATTTTCTGTATGTCATACAGCTGTATGACAATTTACATACCAGTAAAAGATTAGGAAGTTTATATTTCATATTTTTTATTTTAATTTCAAATAAAATACTTTTTATTTTTTTTAATATGTACAATGTATAGATATCTCCAGCATTAAGTCATTGTAATGATATATTGGGGGTTGCGTAACTGGAGCCATAATTTATTGCAAAACTATTTAGATCTGAAGGGCATTACTCCTTTTTTTCCAAAGGTGTTTGGTGTATGTTGACCCTATGGGTACCATAGCAATGAGCAGTATGGAATAATTGTGCCCATTTATTATAATTGCATATAAGGGTCACAGAAATGTGATGTTCAAACAAACTGACACCTCATCTCTGGAGTGGTATGTTAAGCTGATGAGTCATATCTCACCATGACCTTGTTCTGGAGAAATGGTTATGGAAGAGAGATGGGTACCTGTTGCAATTTGAGTCACTAGGTGCTTTATGTGAAGCATGTGAAGACCATGTATTATAACTATCAATTAGAAAAAAAAATCTGATATGTGCTATCAGTATTTAAGTGCAGCCCATACTGGTATTTTCATACTTTACTGGAATTATTATCCAGGACCAGTTTGATATTTGTGCTGGAACATGAAATGTACATGGTCACACACATTTTAAGAACATTATTGGGAAAATGTGTAATAGCATTGCATTTACTTGACATTTGAGTTTTGAGAACTTTTTGACAGTTTTTATGTTTACCTGTAAGGCCCTAAATAAAAAATTTGATTAAGCGGGGCCATTGTAAAGTATAATTGCAGAATTGAATTTGGATACTGTTCTATTTGCACTGCTCAATTAGGATTCAGTGAGGCTTTTGAAGAGACAAGTGGAGGTTGTATGAGCAATCACTGGTGTAATAGGGTGGTTTGAGATGTTGCCATATTGATTGGGCTGCTACTAGGAACATTGTTATTATGTAGATTGAGTTTAGCATTTCCTCTGCCCCTTTGCAACCATGTCCACTTGTGTATTTTTTTCAAAACTCTGGAGGAGGATTTACAATCCTTGATGGATGGGATCTGATTGTCACCTAGGAACCAAGGAAATAACCAATGAAAAGTTGGGTACTTGTCTGACAGCGCTTGATCCTTCCCATCTCATTTCCTATCTCTAGGCAGTATATAAAAAGTTGGTTACGTGAATTTAAAAAAAATGACCACACAGAGATACTCAGAAGTTCACTAAATATATTTACATGACAAACAGTTCGCCAACAGTGCAATACATAGGAATGTTGCATAATTACCAAACATTACACTCCCTCCCCAGTAAAGAAAAGGCTTAAAGCTGATAAAACAGTTTATGCAAAACATTTACAACATCAGAACAGGCTCACAAAATAAACATCTCTGAAATCGCCCCTTCGACAGTGACATTGTGGTGCATGTGCAGGTGTGTCTTATAGGTCACAGGCTGATTTCTGTACAGATTTGGGAACTTTGGCAGTTTTTTTTATATTAAACAATATAGTCAGTCAGAAATGTTATGTAAGGTGGCCTTGTTCATGTTCACAGTGTAATCGAGAGCGGCTGAAAGCCAATAAAAAAAGGGGGGGAGGAATGTCCCCTTTAAGAGACCTGGAAGCGGCTGTCCTTGCTGTTAGTGGTTATAAAATTACAAACACGTATGTAGATTTTCATAGCAGTCATCGCCATAAAAAACAATCAGTTCAGGTCAAAATACAAACAACCAGACGAAGACGTTGGCCACAAACCAATGGTCACTCTGGGGGGACACACAGACATGAACAGAACATGCACAGGTGCTATGTAAGAACACTGTACCAAAATGATAAACATGACAAAATATAATATTTGAAGTGTGAAGGAAAAAAGACAAACTCTTCAAGCAAATTGAAATATACCTAGTTGACTAGCTTTCATTGTTGTTTTTTTTTTTTTTTTTTTCCTTTTCTGGTTTGGCACTTTATCTGAACAAATTACTGTTCAAAAAGACTAGATTCAGTACAAAAGTTAACATCTCCTTAAGATAGATTACTTCAGATTAAGTGTACTGTAGGTAAACACTGTAATGTACTGTAGCTTAACGAACATTACAACAGATGTTTAACACACATGCACAAAGACGGAGAGCATGGAACCCCGATCCACGGCCAAGCTCTCCTCGAAGGCGTCCCCCACCTCACAAGCTCTCCTCGAAGGCGTCCCCCACCTCACAACGTCTCCTCGGCCGATCTGACGTCGGACTTGAGGCGCACAAACTCCTTGGCTACCTCGTCGTTGGTCCTCTGTGAGAGTATCCTCATGATGATCAGGCCGGTCTCGTTCATGGAGATGTCCCTAACCAGGGGGTGCCAGCCTGAGCAGCTTCCCTTGTCGGCGAGGTCCTTCAGTGGAATGACTGTCATGCCGATGATGCGATCCTCCCTAGCGAAGCAGTAGTCCTTCACCGAGACGTGTAGCTCATAAGCCTGGGGCTCGTGCTCGGAGCTCAGCACACTGCACAATTGGGACAGGAAGAGACGCATCGTTTCAGCCAGCTGCTTTTTGTATGGAAGAACAATTACTGATGTGGGAGATTTGCAGATTCTGCATACATTAGCTGTGGGGGAAGAATGCCAACATATAGCCAATTGAATCTAAGAAATATTCAGGAATGTGACTCCATGACAACTACAAATATATCCCGCCTCGTACCTGTCTATGGCAAACTGAGTGACTATACCACACAGTGAATTAGCTTAGTCCCTAAGTAAACCTGGAGAGGGCTGTGACTTACAACTGGAATGTCTCGTTGTACTTAGGGGACCAGGTGTTGTTCTTGGTCTTCGTGCTGAACTTGCGCTTCTTGTCTGCAAGTTGCGGTCCCACGGCATTGACTTCCACAAAGGGGCGGAACATGGCATTGGTCTGCCAACTAATGCTTTTCACTGCTGCAACTGGGGGAGTGTGGAACAAAGAATTGTGGTGAGAGAAGATTGCTTTACAGGTGCCTCTATCTGACAGTCTATGAGAGTGTAGATGCCACAGAACCTCTCCTTGCACTTGAGAACAGAATCTTTAACACTTGCTGACCCTGTGGCTATAACCCAGGGATGTGACGGTAAGTATGTGTACCCCTCGGTTAAAGACCCACCCCTGGAGGGTCTGAACAATGATGTGATGCTCAAAGGAGCTCAATGCTAAGCATGTGGGTGTTTTGGCATGACAAGGCCCGAGTGCAGATTCATTTAGCAACCAGTTGGTTTGAAATCAAATTTGTTTTTATATACAACATTCATCTAAAACACTGTGGGATGGACGATTCCTGCCTGTTCAGTGGTTTTCTCCACTGATGCTCCTACAGTAACCTGATCCCTATTAATCTGTGTATCTGAGTGATGATCAGTTTAATGGCTCAAATTTTGTTTGACAACAGAACTTAATTTTAAAGCAACTACTTAAAACAGTTGTTGATTTTACACAAGTTACATAGATGTGTATGGTTTAATATTAAGATGAGAATCAGCATTCAGATCTGTCTTTGCTGCTGAAGCCTGCAGTAAGCCGTAGGTGTCAGAGAGTCCTACCCTTGACACTGATTTTGTGCTCCCCAGTGCCTGGATGAGACACGAGATCCACTTGAAGGGACACCTCACCCAGCGATCCATTAGATGGCTGAACTGGTGTTAAAAAAAAGGGGGAGGGGGTTAAAATGAGCCCCCCCAGACACCACTCCCAGTGATGCAAGGCTACTGATATATCTGTGAAACACCCCGGGAAAAGAAACACTCTACATTAAACATCTACATTAACAAAGTAAATAAGAGCAAATTGCACACAACAATGAGATTGCCTACAGTGGCAGGGTTGTGGAGTGGTGCCTTCGTTTAAATTTCATTCCTGAGCTCGCTGGGAATGAAAAACATTTAGTCTATGGCCTACAGCAAGATGTTCAGCAACAACCACCAATCGTTATTTTAAGGTGTTTAAGGCTCGGGGTGTCAATATGAAAACCAATTTGTGCTCTCAGTGTAAACGCAGTGACACTTCCTGATTGTTTTGGAACTGCAGCCTTTAGCTTGTGGGTCTCTGCATGGCCCCGCCCAGCTCCAGAGATTACCAGCTGACACAGAAAAGCGAGAACGGCGGTAAGCAATGAAAATGGCATGTTTACGCACTGACCAATTACCGTCAGAGGAACAATCTCTCTTATTGTGGCAGATGAACCAGCAGCAGCTGGTACTGATGTGTTGATAAGTAGGTTGTGATGACACCTGTATTACACCTGAGGAATCCCTACAGTCATTCCAGGAGTAAGCAGATGCTTAGGGATAGGATGGTGCTCCTGTGACGGCTGCTATACAAAAGATGATTCAAATATTATCTTTGGTCAGAGGAACTGTGTATGTACTTCCAAGTAGATTCAACCAATGCAAGATTTAGTAAGTACTGATCACTGCACTTTTCATAAGACAGCCACTTGATTAAAAATAAATCATGAATTGCAAAAGCACTGATTTGATTTAATTTTTTTAATTGTACATTACATCCATGGCACTGTTGCCTCACACATCTGGGACTAAGCTTCAAATCGCCACCCTTAGTCTATGTGTGGAGTTTGCATGGTGTGTGCCCTGCAATGGGTTGGTGCCCCATCCTGGGTTATTCCCTGCCTTGCGCGCACAACCTTTGGGATAGACTCCATACCCCCTGCAACCCTGAATAGGATAAACGGGCACATAAAGTGGATGGATGTACGGATGGATATTACACCCATCCATCTCCATTATGGAGTTAACTGCTTGCCCCTGTAATGGCCATGGAGAGTCAGACCTTTAGTCAGCAAGCATAGAGGATAAAGTGGGAGAAGAGCACACTAAGGAGGACTCATCTGGATAGTGGATGGAAACTGGAGTTCTCACATGAACATGAGAATGCACAAACATGGTGCTTGTTTGAACCCGGCTCCTCAACACTACTGGCCACTGAGATCGTGGGAGGGGGGGATTTCTCCCCAATATATGGGAGGGACGAATATGAATATTAACACATACAGACTTGAGGGGTTTTTGGAGCCTGTACACAGCTTTCTGCCATGAGTTCAAGACAGACCACTGATGCTCTAAAAAACAAAATGATGATAAATATCGAATTTGCCTTGACGCGACTCATTAGTTGAAGATAAAAAAATAAATAAAAAAAAAACAGATGCAGACAGTGTCAGAAGCACTGGCATTTGCAGGGTCTGTACCTTTCGGTTGTTCCCCCGTCAGCTGTCAGAACCTGCAGGACCTGCACATGGACACATTGGCTGTGTCCGAATACAGGGGCTGCACCCTTTGAAGGATGTGGTTAGGAAGGCATAGCCTTCGTTCTTTGGAGAACGAACAGAAAGCGTTGTCAAATGGGATGGTCTGGCCTACAGATAATTTCCTGTTTCATCACCAGCTGTTCCCACCCTTTACCCTTGAGTCACAAAGCGCCGCTCCTGTGGCCCAGCTGGGACACGCCCATTTTGGATGGAATATTGAGGAGGTGGCCCAGCACCTCAGTCCTCTTGGGCTGGGTGTTTGAATCTCATCCCTCTGTGTGTGTGCATAGAGTTGGCATTTTTTCCCCATGGACATGCTGGCTAACTGGCATCTCTAAACTGCCCATAATGTGTCAGTTTTTGAGCCCCACCTTCCAACCAGAGACCATTAAAAATAAAGAATTTTAAATGACATGAGTTGCTAGTGAATAGATAGCAACTGACCATTAAATATGATTTTGGAGGGTACTGACAGTCATTCTTGTATATAAATCATTCTGTGTCATTATGTCCCCAAAGACATGCATTCTTTATCTTATCCTATCGACCTTTACACCACAGTTAAGGTTTAACCACAAAGTTTTGTCCAATAGTGTAAGCAAACCAGTGGCCACTGACATGGTCGTTGTCTGTGATTGTCCAGTTTTCTCTCTCTGCATCCTGTCTTGGCACCTAGTTTCAATACCTTCAGGCTCAAGGAATAAGGTCCCAAGCCAGTGTTGTTATGGAGTCCAGTATAGCTGAGGCTCCCCACCCATCATCGTGATGGGTTCACAGGTATGGGGGGGGACAATTACTCGTGAATTACTCATTTATTTTCATTATTCTTCCTGTGGTTCAGCTTCAGAAGCTAATTCAAATAATGCTAGTGATCATCAATGAGGTGATAAATTACATCATAGTCATTTGCTTTATAAACAATTAAAGATATTTTTTTCCAATGAGAATAGGGCAGGCACGGGCCTCAGGTCTATGCGATATTCAGATCAAGCTTCTGAGTTCTTTCACAGCCATCATAAGTGTATTTGTCATAGATATTATTCCTTCCAAAATGCTTGTAGAATTTTCATGTACGTTGGATAGACTGACATGTCCTTCTGCCTTACTCAGTTTCAGATCACAGAAGCTATCTCCTCAAGTTATTGAAGGCATTCAGCAGGAATATGTCTGTCTGTTCCTCTATCTATCCATCCCTCCATCCATGCAACTATCAGACTGCTTACCTCAGTCAGGGTTGACCTAAAGATGCCCAGTACATGCACTACCATATGTTTAATTCTCCCCTAAAAAATTGGCTACCTATCTTTCATAAAAAGTCTTACATCTGGCTGCCTGATTGGCAGCTTTAGGTTGTGCATCATTTTGTAGTTCGAAACAAACAGATCGAAATACAGATAAAAAATACCATAATTACACACACACACACACACACACACACACACACAAAATAAAGTGTTGTTCAATATATTTACATACATTGATTTGACTCATGATAAAAATGTCTTAAGTTCATGGTAAAAAAATAAAGCTTTTCCTTAGCTTAAAAAGGAAAAAAAACTTCTGTAAGAAACATTTGTTTACTGGTTGTTTCAATGAAGGAGCTTTAATTAGGGAAGCCCCCAGGGCCTGTGCCGTTGGGGTGGATGGCACATCAGGGGCGAGCTGGAATTCGCCATTCAGGCACAGAGCTGCCAGGACATCTGTTCATTGTCTACAGCTGGTATAACTTTTATGGCAGTGTTCAGTATTTCATTACATGGGCTATTTATATACAGTGACTGACTGATACCTAAGGATGAAAAACAGTGCACATACAGGGACTCGGTGATTAATGCTTGAGGATTAAACACCGTGTATAGACAGTGACTTCAGATTCTTATCAAGCTGATGTTGACTGACAACCCACTTTGATTAATACTCGAGAAACAAATGCCATGTACAGGCAGCGACTGTATGTGATACTTGAGGATTAAAGACTGTGTACATACAGGCACTCTGTGAGAAATATTTAAGGATTAGGAGTGAGTCTGTTTGAGTCTGTTTGCGCAATTGGAATTTAGATTGCTGTTTATAGGCTCCACACGTGTTTGTTATGATCCCCAAGATTATCCCCCACCCCCCTTATTACAATTCTTTTGTGTCACCCAGGTGTCAATAGCCAACAATGCTATCTGTACCTGGGGTAGATAGCCAATGTGGCTGTTTGCTCCTGGGTTTATATAGGAGGCAGATGCTGTTGGCAACCAGCTGTCAGTAGCCAAAAATGCTTAATAATAATAATAATAATAATAATAATAATAATAATAATAATAATTATTATTATTGTTATTGCTGTTATCACTATTATTATTGGCACCCTTTATATTTGTATCCCACTTTGGCACCATTGAAGTGACGTGCAATCATGCAAGCAATACAATGTTTATGTTTTTTGTGCAGCCAGGGGGCGGAGACTGAGGAGGCCTGGTGTAAATAGATGAAGCAATAGGCAGATAGAGATGGGCAGTGTAAATAGACACTCCGAAAAAACAATTCAAATCTGCCTGTCTGCAGGCTGCCTTCAAGCATTTCCTCCTTTCACTATGTCTCCTTGAATTTCCTGTCATGTATGTACTATCCACTTAAATTACGCAATTCCACATTCTGAAAAGTCACTCTGGCAAAAGCTAAAAAAAAAGAAAAAAATCAACGATTTGAGAGGAGGTCATATGTTGACTTGACTTGCGCTCAGGATGATAAATGAGGCAGTATAAAAAATCGTGTCATTAATCAAATGCCAGCACATTTAGAGCTGGACAACGTCTACTTCCTGTTATTTTTACAAATTGTTGCTTATTTTCACTGGCCAATTACAAGAGTATGAACCAACGTATCATGACATGGGACTGCTGTGAAAACCCTGCACAAGCCAGAGAAGGGCTCCCCCTGTATTTTAAAAGGCACCACTGCTGCTTTATGCCTTGTTTTGATAACAAAAATGCAAGCGTCTCTGCTGGGATGTGGAGCGGCACTTTAATTGAGTCAGCGGTGGAGGGGTCTACACTCCTCATTAGGTTTGCTAAAGCATATAACTCTGACTGTTTGGCTTTGACAGAAAGTAGAGAGCCAGACGGGAACGAAGTGCATTCCCAGAACTGCAGCAGTGCCCAGAGGACTCTGCAAGGAGGAAATAATTATTCTGATTATGGACAAAGTAAAAGAGGACAGCAACAATTAGATTTTGACAGGCAGTGAAGAATACCTGTAATGCACAAAAAATTACCAGTGCATCTTCTGGGATAAAGGGACATGCTGGGCCTCCAGTAAAGAAAAATAAAAAAGACACACACACACACACACACACACACACACACACTTTGCTTTATGATACTTTAACTATACAATGGTATGTTTGTGATGCACATTCAGCATCGACCAGCCACACTTCTCGTCTTGATTGTGAGCTTACACTGTTGAACACTATATGGGATGTTTATCGTACAGTGTTTCATGTTTAACCATATTTATTTGTCCACTGTTCAATTACTGGTATTTATTTAGTTACAGGAATTATTTGCTTATTCGGGGACACTGCTTATTTTCTTACTTACAAAATATTCCTCTTGGATGTATCTCACCTTGAGAAACAAGCCCAAGAAAATTGATCCGAGAGACACTCCATGTGAGTAGTCTTGCTTTAAGAAACATGCCAGGTTAGTGATCTTGCCTTGGGAAACATGCTAAGGGAGTCATCTCACCTTGAGAAACACATGAAGCGAATGATCTCACCTTGAGAGTTCTGGGTCCCTATATACTTCTTGATCAAGGCATCCGTAGATTGTGTATAAAGGCTGAGAGCGTATTTCAATGACTTCAGATCAGGGCTTTTCTCAAGGAATGACTTCTTCAGACCGTTTCCGCCGGCATGGAAGTATTGCTGTGAATAGAAAGCCAGTTTAGTATTCACATTGACAATCAATCAATGGGAAACGTATACATTGCTCACATTCCTATGTGTGTGTGTGTGTGTGTGTGTGTGTGTGTGTGTGTGTGTGTGTATATGTATGTATGCATATAATATACACACACACCAAAGAACCAAAGCATGAGGCACCCCCCCCCCCCCCCCCCCCCACAGTAAGTGAATAATGTTGTAAATGACGGCTATGCCTTCTGGTACAAACAACCAAAGGGGTTCTGTGGCATAAATCCTAGACAATTGTAATGATGAATGTGGGACTGGTGTGTCACAACACACAACTGACCATGAGCACGCCACAATCCTTGCATCTTGGAAATGCTCAGATGCACTTCTGTCACCTCAATGATTTGGCTCTTGTCAAAGTCACTCTCTATCTCTGACATTTCTTCTGCATTCAGCTACGAGTACTGAATGTAATATATCCCAGACCTTGACATGGGGGTGGTCATAATGTTTTGGCTCAACAGTGTGTATATATAACATCAACCACTAAGTTCTTTGCTAAAATGCCCATGTCTGGATAGACAACCACATAAATCCTGTTCATGCTACAGTGACCATCCTAGGTTTCTGCTTCTTGTAGCCTTTTAGGGTGTTCCCTGCTCAAACATCAAGCTCCCTGCAGCATTTTTGGGATAGGCAATTGCATAAGCGATTATATAAAATGGATGGACTTCAAGAATTTCTTTGACAGCAAAGTTATGAATATCAGAACAAATCCAGTAACACATCTACTGCTAATGTTGCTTTCAGTCATACTCAGCATTTTGAGTCAACTGCTTTTGTTTCAAGTAAATTTGCTGCACCAGACACTATAAACCATCCCGCACCCACACAGCTAATGAAAGCGCCTGAGTGTAAATGAGAATGGAAACGTTTGATTTTACATATACATCATTATGAGGACACTGTCATCAAGCCCATGCTCAAGAAAAATCTGGTTTGTGTTTAGCCCGATCATATCTCATCTTCCATTTTGCTTCCATTTTTGATTTGTTACCCCAAAGCTGTCTGTTTTCTTACAATGTAACTTCTATGGCATGTTTCATTCCAAATTTAGCCAATTCCATAGCACTGAGAGGGCACCTATCTGAGTAACAAATGACTTGCTTCTCACCTCTGGCTGCACTAACGTCCCTGTTGCTGTACTTTGAGACCTGTGTGCTGTGTTTTTCCACAGCTCGCCCTTTTCCCCGAGCATAACAAAGCCTCGTGGCTCTCAGTGGACCTGCTTTGTCTCGATTTGCATCATACCCTGTCAGGCTGTGAGGTTCCTTTGAGTGATGAGTCACTGAAATACTCAGTCGCCAAACATGAAGCTCCACAGGAACTAGCATTTGGGCCAGCACTGTTGTTTTCCCCTTTATGTGCCACCCGGTGGGCATTATCTGTAAGTGTGGCATTAGTCACCGTACAACACCATGTGGCTGTCAAACCGAGTGAAAGCTGCATGAAGGGCATTAGGGACTGGACAACTTGCTTATACTGAGCTTACAAAAGACAGAAGTGGTTTGAGTAGTTGCTAAGATACTCTTTTGCTGACTAAGGTGAATCGGGATGTTTTCTAGGTCAATGCTAATGCCTTGGCATGAGACTTTGGGATTACAATTGATTTTTACAATAGAAATACATCTAACCTGCCTACCTGTCATCTGTATATATGTAGCCAAGGTCAGAAGAATGTTCTTCATGTGGAAAAGTTGTATTGTAATGTCCTGAAATCTGGTGGCGTTTTCATAAAATGTCTCTAGCTGGCAGAGAATGAAGCTTGTGACTCGTAATAAAACGTGGGAGTCTGAGTCCACTCAGACTCCCTCCCTGCATCGCCTAACCCACAAAAACAGTGGAGTATATAAATGCTTTGCGTTCCATGGGGCTGTTCCGTACCCCGTCTGGTTAATCTGACTTCTGTATAACCTAACTGTCAACACTTGGTCACTTTTTCTGGCTTCCATTCTACGACAATGTGACCCAGAGCTATTGGATCATCGACTGGACCCAGACGGCTGGACCTTCAGTGGTGTATAGAGAATGGATCCATATATTGACACTGCTGTCCGCATCGGCCCACTCTCGGTGCCATCTCCAAAAGCTGGATCACAGAAGGATCATTTGTTATCCTCAATCATGATTGCCTCCTTTGAAGAGATCAGAGAATGATTTTCAGTGTTTCCCAAATTATGTTTCCTTCCTTCTGGGAAAAATGAGGATAACTTAGATTAAGTTAATAATTAATTGGGTTAGAAATTAAAACTACGCAGATGTACCTTTGTTAGCACTAATTATTCCTTCTATCCATAAGCACTTAGCCAGTTCAGGGTCAGGGTGAGCCTGGAGCCCATCCCAGACAGCTCTGCACATGAGGCCAGGTACCCAGGAGCGTGTGGTGGCAAGACACACGACTACAGGCAAGTGCTCATACAGTCACTAACCATCAACATAACTGCAGGAAGAAACCAGTGTAGATGGGGGAAACCTGCACAAAATGAGGGGAACATGCGAACACCTACAGAAGAGGTGGGATTCGAACCCCTAACCCTGCAGGCACAAGGCTACAGTGCTATACACCGTACAACCCCACATACAGATTTTTTCTTGTATTAGTGATTTAACCGTATGTACACGGTAGCTGAATTAACATAAGGACGGAATCAAAGTCGATTTTGCTCTTCTGCTGAGACCGATAAAGCTTTTTCATTCCTGCTTAAAGAGGCTCAGTTTCCCAGGAGGCTTCAGCCTGCCACTGGGCTACGAGGCAGCAATGCTAAGCAGACCAGTGTCAACTTTCAGCACAACGCCTTTGTCCAAACCCCTGCACATTCTCACAAACGAAAACCATGGTTCAAGAAGAAGAAAAAAATATTATTACTTCCTGTGCCTCTGGATTAATTATAAGATTCATTTTCTTGTCTAAATGCTGAACAGTTTGTATTCCTTGTCATTAGCATCTGTCGATTTAATACTATTTAGGCCTGGCTGTGTTTTTTTTTTTGGGGGGGGGGGGTTTGCACTTCATATGTAGGTAATTCAAACAACGGTTTACAGCACTTGATAGTTTATATCAATTTAACTTCTGGATGTAAAACATAATCGTCTTCCTGCTTTCGTGCGAGTTACGTGGTGATTATGAACCCGGTTTCTGATGAGGTGTGAAGTGGACTTCCAGATCTTCCAGGTGTGGAATGATTACGGGGTGGCTGATTGGCCAGCAGAGAGCTTAAGGGTATAAAGTGGGACTCAGATCAGTAATTCAGGTCCTCTGGTGCTTGTTTAGCTGGAGGTCCGATCGATCGCATGGCCTGTCCAAGTCTGACACCTCTTAGGAATCGCTTTTCATTAAAAGAGCTGACTTCCTTATGGTGGGGGGGGGGATAGACATGCCCTTGCAGTGAAGCAGCTTTTTGAAACTATGGAATTAAATTGCATCAAGAGGACGGGAGAATTTCCTGCTATTACCGTTTCATTTCCACACCTTCCTACTAGTGTCTGTTTACATAACATAAGCATAGAAAGCTTGAGGGCACACACACACACACACACACACACACACACACACAGAGTGAGTCATATCTTTGTACTGATATCTTTGGGGGGACTCTCCACTCATTTCTATGGGGAAACCTCTTATTCCAACATGATGACCTTAACCCCTACTCAACCCTAACCCTAAACTTAACCAAAAGTAACCAAACAAAATACGAGACTTTTGGCATTTTTAGTTTTTTGATTGCATTCACAGATCTTTGTGGGGCCCTGAAAAATGGTCCCCACAATGTCAAAAAAAAATAAAAAAAATTACAGCTGCATGTGATCTAACGTTCACATGCTGAGTGTGAATGCATGGCATGTGTAAAAAAAAAAAAAATTTTCCTTATTCATTGAATTTCAGGCAGTCTTTTGCGATATGTTCATCCCACATGTTCATATTGTGATGACAATGAAAATACGATTTATCAATCAGCACTATCCCTACCTAGCCCTAACCTTAACCACGAGTAACAACAAACAAAATACAAACAGGTCAAATAACAGGTTATCACACTGTGGGGACATTTTTAGTTTTAGCAAACCAAAAAACGGTCCCCACAATGCCAGAGTAACAGGTTTTTATCACTTTGTTGGGACAGTTGGTCCCCACGACGTAATGTGTATGACCTTGTGTGCCTGTGTGTGTGTCTGCCACAGGCATCGGCTCCCCTAGAACCTGGTGGCACAGAGCACTCACTGGGACAGCGCATGTCAGTGGAGTAACACACGGCTGTGCACCTCTGAAAATAAATATGTAGTGAACAGAAGCAGCAGCATCTGCTGTAATCATCTGGATGCTGTTAGATACAAGCTGTGACCGGTGTGGACCTGAGGCTGCTTCAGCAAAAGGGAAGGAGTCAAAGGTACTTTACAGCCGAATTTAGACAAAAGGTGGGAATTAACTAGAATACACTTCAAATGTTATGCTCATTGAGGAAAACAAAAGCCTCCCATTTCATCTTGATTTTGAATAATAAAAAAAAAGTGTTTGTAATTCAGAAGTGACAGTGAGCTGATTTTTTTTATTTACGCGCATCATGCAGAATCATGTTGAAATAAGAGCGAGCGGCATGACTAGAGAGAATCATGTGGCCATGAGACGGATCTGACGAAGACGCGGGCATTCAGGGTCTCCTGTTCAACACACAGTCAGATAGAAAGTCCTGCAAGGCCGCTAGGATCCAAGCTCACAGCAGCTATTGCAGAACTTAATCTTCACTGTTTTAACGTACTGTATGTGATCCAACATTTCTGATGCAATTACATCAATTTGGGGAACATATCGGCCTGCTGCACAGGTTGCCATAAATGTAGAACCTTTCACAAAACCATCTGGCATTTAACAGTGAACTTTATAACTCTGTAACTCACCAGGACAGATATTCCTCGTCTAATCGATCCCTTGGCATGCTAATGAGGAAACGGTCCACACTGTGATTAATCTGAATGGGGAGGGCGGTTTCATCAGAGCCATGGGAATCGATTAAATTCTGTGAATCAGCACAGGAGGCGTCACACATGCATCATGGCTGCACCAGCTTCTCCCCTTTGTAGGACGCAGCCATTTGTGCTCCTAGGTCCCTAATTACCTCCCCTCCCACTCCCAGGGAGAGCCACCGCATCACAGCACTTGCCCCGCGGTTTCTGGATCCGAGGTTACAAAATGCATCTATGGGGGGGGGGGGGGGGCACATTAAAAAAATGACAATAATAAAAACGGCAAATGACCCAGTGGGCCAAATCATCAGCAGGTAAGAACACATGAGGAGACGCTCCTGTGAAAAGGGCGACGGCAACGGAGATCAAAAGGCTCATTCCAAATTAGACACGGTGAGATGGATTAATGAGGGGAAAAAGGAAGAAAGACGAGCAAACTATACAGCAGCAGGAGGTGATAGGAGGACAGGTAAGCGAAGGGACAAACCTAACTGCCCTGTCTGCCAAATTAATCCTGCCCCTTTCCTGAGGGAGGAACCACTGGTTTGTTAACATGGGGGTGGTGGTGTGGAAAGTACTACTGGTCTGTCTGGAATAGGGAAATGAGCAATACCTTGATGGTGGGCAGGACCAGATCCATGGCTGCACACTGCCGGGGAGTCAGACTCCGAGCTTCCTCACGGATCACATGCTCCTGCATAAAACGGAAAGAGGAGGACACAGTTATAGTGGCCTTTCCAGGCACTGTCAGAGAAAAACTCACAAAATCCCCTTTGACTGAATGGGGACTCTTGGGAACATGACTGCAGCACATTTCACATCTAGTTAAAAAAAAAAAAAATGCCACACTCCATTCTGAAGCACGAACTGGTTCACTTCCTGCAGATAGAGGTCAGACACTGCCAGTGCAGCCCCTAGGAGGGACGACGGGTAGCAGAAAATGGTAAGAAGCTTTTAAATCACAACAAACTGAAAACCCCCAAGCATCAGAAAACTGCAGCAGACATTATACACACACCCAAGAGGTAAATCCACTTCAATTGCCCACCTGTTCCCTTGATTTATTTTAGCAATATTACATACAGTTAAGGGATTTCCCTATGGAAGCCAGTAATGGCTAATGGAAAGTAACTTGTCCAGTACTGTGTGGAAGAATCTTCACAGAGGACAATATAAAGACTGTGAATTGAATTTTCTGGAGTGGAGTCTTGGCTCCGCCATACAGTGGCTCTCTGAGCAATGGCTGCCAGCGCTAACTGTGCTGTAAAGCTGCTACAGGCTGAAAGTGCAGTGCAGCTCTCGGATGTAGGTGGGTCCAAAGGATTCTCGGGGGGTCAGTCTGTGTCTCTCTGACTTACTTTCAAACTATTCATAATTTTTAAATTCTGTGACTAGTTTGCGTTTGCCCAGAGTTTGGGCCTGAGTGTGGTGTGGACCTGTATGTGATTTGGTCTCACCAGATAAAGTGTTTATGCTGTTGAGCACCTCACATAGCACACAAACACTGCACAATACTGAGATAAATGGCCTTTTGTAAATGTTGCAAATTTTCCACTTATCTGTTGGGCCATGGGGTTGGCCTGCGTCTTTGTGTGTGTGTGTGTGTGAAGCACTGCTTCTCACAGGTCCCTTTTAGGGTCACACCTCAGGGATCAGTTTTTATTTGGCTGATTTAACGCTTGTCGAAACTGTATCGATGATTCCATTAATCAACAGTCTTTTCCCGTAAGGGGTGTAGATTGGGATGGGCCAGGAGTGCCTGTTATCTTGCCAGCAGGTTCACAAATGGGCTAGCAGGTGTGGCGGGCTATCACAATTTACCTGGACGCTTAAAATCTCCTGTTCCACCTTGAAGCAGTTTGTGCTTTAGTGATAAAAATATCAGTGTTACCTTGTGTTCATGCTTGTGCGCTCTATGGGATTATACCTGTGTGTATAACATTAAATATTCACACACACTCACTATACAGTAGACCTATAAATATTTCATAGCTGCCAGGCTTAGAGAGAACAGCTTCGGCAGCAGACAGTAACTGCGGCTGACGGTGAACTGAAAGTGAGGAACATGTTCGCTGACGAGGAGAGTGAAAGGTGATCTATATGTGAGCAATTAACTATGAGGTCTGGGAAAAAGGCTCCTGTAGATATAGTGGCTGCACGTAAGGGGGCTCGCATCTACTCGTAAAACTCGCCATCCATGAGTTTCCCTTTACAGCTGAAGAGCGCACAGTGGTAAATTCCCTGCTGAGGGACCGGCACCCTAATCAGTACTGAGGCTGAGCAGAAAAGCACTAAATAACATCACAACCAAGCAGGAGTGCCCTGTGGATTGGAGTCGACACCCCAGGTTTAAATGCTCTCGCCTCCGTTATTGAAAACCACATCAACGGTAATTTATTAGGACAATGAAACCCACAGCAGCTTAATTATTTATATGGACAAAGCACAGGAAGAGGAGCTCTTAGCCAACGTCCTGAAAGAGCAGATTGCCAAGAATGTTCAAAGGGCTTTATTCACACCTTTTCGAGATGAGCATGAAAAGATATTAGATGTTACTTTTTCGATCTGCTGGGGTCCTTGAATAACTGTCCTATTATTCTACAGCAACAACTTTTCAGGGGACCATGACCTTAAAAAATATCAAGGAACCTGCTGTATTAACTACTCTGAAGTTCAGAATATTCCCAGGTACATCTGGTGAAGCCTATTTCAAGGGCTTTGAGGTACCATAGAAACACTCATTGACTGAAGCCATGCAGGAAGAAAATGGCATTACAAATTTCCGTAATCTGTCCTGGATTATGAAGTTTGTGCATTAATAAATCATCACTCATGCAAGGAACAAGGGATCAAATTAGCTGAATGGATTTTCTGATTGTAAAAACAATACGCATTTGTAATGGGGAGTGCTGTACAACACCTTGCTGTTTTTAGGATGTTTTGAGTATTATGGTCTGCTGAGCCAACTAAACATAGCATACAACGTGGCACAAAGCATTCTGTAAAAGCCATTTTGACCAGCCATCTGTAAATTTTGCCCCAGTAATCTCGGTTAGACATATTCTTCATCTCTCAGCAGCTCAGCAAGGGATGCCTATGTAATGTCCTACAGTCAGGTCCCACTGAAGTGAATTAAGGCCTGCTGATGACACAGTTTAACACCCATGCTAAAAGGGATTATTAGTTAATGGAGAGGGATATCTCCAGGGACCTCCTTCTGCTTCGGATAATAGCCCCTCCCACCCTAAGAACATGACCGTCTAGCTTTCCTTCTACTGAGCGTAGAGCCAAATTCTACCTTCAGCTTTGATAGCTGCCCCAAGTCTTTCGCCGCATTGAAGATCATCTGAGCACCTTGCTGTTGAAATAAAGGTTATGTTTGTTATTACATGCATATTAAATGTAGGATTTTAATTGCACTAATCAGTAATATACATTTTTGCAGTGCGTCAGCATGTATAAGCCATGTCCTGGCAGTATGTGCCAATGTGATTTGGACTTGCAGTGTAAACAGTGTCTAGGCATTGATACAGAATTAACAAGAGGGTTACCGGATATCAGCATTTACAGTTTCTCGCTCAAATGGTGTGAAACACGATCGTTTTAGGTTAGTTCTCATTAACATCTGAAGGGAGGCAGATTAAAGTTCATTCCGGTGACTTACACTCTGATCGGTCAGCGGAGGCAACACAACCTGCCTTTCGATGGTGTTTAGGACGATCTTCCATAGCTCCTTAAGCACTCTCTTCAAAACTGTCTTCTCGCAGATTTTTGCAAACAGCATCAGGCTGTAGAGGAGGAGAAACCTTCAATACAGCACAGCTGGTATAAATCCGGCATTATGCAAAGTCAGAAAATGTACTGTAAGTCAGAATAGCTAAGTACTGCAGAACGTCTTCCTGATCCTTTAAAAATGAAAAATGGCCTTATGTAATGTGTTAAAAAAATACACTGATATGTGAATTAAGTGTCACAGCTTCTCATTTGAATCTTAGTGAACTGTAAAACCAAGTTTTAGTGGTGAAAAGGAGCTTTGAACTGCAATGATTTTGCATATAATTAAGAGAATTCTCCATAATTCTCAAACTGCCCTTAATCTTGAGTCGCTCTGTGTCAGTGAGCAGATATAAAAACTCAAGACTGAACATTATATTTCAGGGTATTTACAATGGACAATGTAGCCGGAATTATTAAACTGCAGAACTTTGATTAGGTCTCCTGTTCTCTAGTTCAATATATATACTTCTAATGGTGTCATATGGAAAAACACAACTTTTGGTATGTCAGTTTGGTCAGTTATCAGTTTTTCCTTACATGTAATAGTCTTTCTTGTTAAAAAATAGTCCCTCTCTGTGGGTAGCTAAATACATCCCCAGCCACTAGGGAGGAGGTAATGTGAAAGCTGCAGAAATCTCCTACTTCTTATCCAGTAGCTCCATGAGCGGACGGAGCACGATTTCAGCATCCATGGCAGCGCTGCTCTTCTTGGCTGCTCCGTCCCCCTTCATCTGCAGCAGCTCCTGGCTCATCTGTTTGACGCAGTCCTCAATTACAGGCTTGAAGCTGGGGGAAGAGTCATACGTCGTGTTTAGCCGTAACTTGTAAGGAGAAATTAAGTATTTATAACTCATTATTTTATTCATAAGGGTGTTACTTCAGACATATATTTGCAACATTACTAGTTCTAACAGATTTCCGATTGGACTGCTGACTAAGTGCAAAAAAAATGCAGTCAGTTATGAGATCCAGTGCCTTCTTGGAAAAAGTCTTGCCTCTATGAGGGATTTGCTTGAAATGCATGGAGACTTTATTGATCCAAGTGTTTTTTTTTTTTTGGGGGGGGCAGGGGGTCCTACCTGGAGCCAAACACTCCACTTAGCTCATCCAGGACAGTGTTGAGCTTATTCTGAAGCTCCTTCAGAAGGTCACCTGCCTCAGCATCCAGCTACAAACAAAGAAAACAGCTCTGACTGAAATAACAAATTAGGTGAAGTTTTACCTTTAAAATACAGGAGTGGGGGAATAGCGTTAGATAGGAATTTCATACATCCTGATCGCACTTCTGCTGTGCTCAGGCACCCGGGCTGGTGAAAAGGCCAGGAGTGTGTTCATGGCTCAAAGCTTTCCCATTAGCGGACTCTGCGGTGTCAAATGCAGGATCAAAGTAAGCAGGCAGAACAGTTTGGGTTTATCTATACTGGTAATTACAATTACAGCCACCATTCACGCAGGTAGCTGCTAATTATGGCCTGATTAGGGATCATCTAGGGACTGTGTTTTGGGCCACAGCTATGTGCACTACTGACAGAGGGAAGAGCTCCACCTGAAGATGGAGCAGGGCACGGACAGTAAGACGCACTAATCTGTGGAGGTGCTGTGCTCCCCTCTGCAGACAGACCTCCTACATCCAGTTTCACTCATTGGCCCAGTTCGTTTCTATATAGCACCTTCCACTTCACTACCCCCAAAGCACTTAAAAATTTCATGACAAGAAGAGAATTGCAAGCCGATTTAATAGCATTTAATATTGGTCAGGAATACAACATCTAAGTGGGAGGAATGGCCAGAAAACCATGAAGGAGAGGGATCCCTATGGCAGTTCTACGGGAAAAAATCGGTAAGCCTCCCCCCCATTTGATGAAGACCCTACATAAAAATGAGTAAGCTGCTGAGCAATGCTGTAGGAATACTATTTGTTTCAGTGTAGAATTTGGATCCATCATGAGGTCTAGAACGCTATTTGTATTTTAAAAGGTCATCTTCCTCCACGCACTATAAGGATTTTTTTCATTTGTCTCATCTATTTTTTAGACAGGATATGGTGTGACACACAAGTTAAGCCTTTATTGCACAGTGAACTTGATGTATCGGGGCCATTTAGAGAAACACTGTATCAAAGCAGTACAGAACCGCAATCGCAAAGAGGTATGTACAGCAGTAAGAACACTGTTCTTCACTTGGTCAATCTCTTAATTTTTTTGTTTTATTAAGATACGGACCCGTGATATCCTGGCTGTCAGCTGTGCTGAGCCTGATTACCTGGGTTAGAGGGGGGTGGATTTCAGCCTAAAAGCGGCTGATGAGAAGCTGTCAGGATGGCCTCTTGTGCCTCTTGCCACTCTGCACGTGTAACATCGCTGCCCATTAAGAGATGGGGGTGGAGACGCTGCCACAGCCTCCAGTCAGGTACAAGAGGTGAAACACTAGAGCACAAGGGTGCAACGCTGCTTCTGCAGACGACTGCTGTTGTCTGTGGACTGCTGGGAAATGCAGTGCCGACGTGGCGAGCATGCTATCACTGCTAGCACTCCGTAAGACGGACACCAGATGGTGATGTGCCCTGCAGTAACAGGGACCATTAAAAGACGATAGTGTTTGTATATGTTTGAAGACACCAGGGAAAATAAAGTCCTTACACTCCATTCACACAAAGCAAAAACTATACAAAGATTCTGGCTAATATCTGGCCATAGGATACATCAAACTATTCAGCGAGATTTTTCAGAAAGATTAACACATTGTTGACATTCATCTGAATTCAGTCTTCCTTTTCCTTCTTAAGTCGTGCATATAAAAGTAATTAATATGATACATTAATATGATAATGTGGTTCTTATAATAAATCAGGGTTTCTCAGTGGTCTGATGTAAAATAAAGGCTCGACATTAATAATGAATATATCTGAAGCTTAAGGGGATGAGTGTAATTAATGAAACATAAATTATTTGAGAAGCTGGCTCCAGGTTAAGACACATGTAATGAGGTATGGGTTAAAAACAGGAATTATCATTAACTCGATGAAACATGTTTCAATTAGAACATAAACGGGTGCGAGCTGGAAGACAGTGTTCTGTCCGCAGATAATTACACAAAGAAAAAGCGGGGCGGAGCTTCCTTAGAGGAAGCCTCTCCTGAAAGTGAAGGCGGTTAGAGTGCACTGTCAGAATTTGGAATAACCTTCGGAGTATCGATCCATGGGTTGCGAGCTGCATAAACTGAGACACGAGCACAGATATTAAAATATTAAAAGGAAACAAAAAAAAACTTCACGCATGTAATTTACTGCATGTTTCCTCACCTTTGCTAAACGTGACCATCCCAAAGGATATTAACTACTAGCTACGGAAGTCAAGCCTACATGTCTGACCTTCTTTAGATTATTTATCATTTTACTTCAGACTTCACAGTGAACACAAGATAGCAGAAGAGCCTCCTGCCTTAAGACCCCTTGGTGATTGTGTTGGCTTTTATGAGCCTTGAGATGGCATGCAATCACACTGACTCCAGCCTGTACTGAATATTAAAACAGCCGCAAATCAGGCTGTACATCAAAGAATACCATGTGACCTAGTACTGGGCTGTGAAAAGGCTCTAGAGAGACACAAGGAATGTGGGAATCTCTTGGAGACCAAATAAAACACCATATTGTCAGACATTGTGCTGTGCTGAGCATGCGAAAGCAGCGGTGTTCACTGTATGATTTGAAAGTGTAGATTGTCTGGGGCACCTGAGAATAATTCCTCTACACCACCAGCTTCCTGACTTTGGTGATTGACAGTTGCCGGGACTCAAAATGATATGTCTCCAATATCTAACACCTGAATTCACAGGAATGTGAAACTTTTGTGTACTGCACTTGTAGCTGGACATTCAGAAATGCAACGTGACAAATGACTGGTTATTTTATTATGACTGAAACACTATGGTCTTCATAATGCACCAACCAGTTTGAAATAGCTAAAAGATAGAGGGATTGAAGTATCAAATTAAATCTTATTTACTTCCGGGACCTTTAGGTTACGAGTCTGTACTTAACCACTACGCCACCTGCACATATTATACAACAGAAGGGAATACTTGTTCTTCATTCATCCCATGGGGAAATTAGGGTGTTTTTACATTTTGTGTCCCATGAGAGAACGATATGTGTAAATATGCAGTGTAAGTAAGTTTTGAGGTGCTAGAGCGCAGGGTCAGTCAGCATCCAGCAGCTTTTGGATATAATTATTCTGCCTGCTATGGGATTTGAACTACCAACCTTTTGGGTGAAGACACTGCCCTCTGTCCCACTGATTCAATAACAGTACTGCGGAGAGCTTGTAGAGGTGGGCTGGGATGTGAGGACACTGACCTGTTTTCCACCCATGGCCTCGAACATCTTCTCCAGCTGCACGCGGAGCTGCTGGATGTTGTTGAGGAGGATGCAAGGCTGTCGGAAAGAGTGTACGAAAGGCGGGATTTAGGGTGATTCACAGCCACATGCCATGCTACATTTATAACACACTCGTGGGCAGATTTAAGCTTACAGACACGGCTCTAATCTGCAACAAAATCCTACATCTGCTTTCTTTCACAACCTGTGATGGTGCAAACACATCTGAAGAGTGATTTGCTACAGTTTGGATGACGCTTTAAAATTTTTACAATAAAAAACAGCTGCAAATATAGAGGCATTACATAATAAGAGCTACAGGCAGAATGTTAGCTTCCTGCTAAGTTATGTAACCTTGTCATGCATGATGAGTCCCAGATTCTCACGCTCAGGTCTGAATTGGGACAGAGACACCCGACGTGTGTATCCTTACCACTTTCTCCCTGCTCAAATGTGAGCTGAAGTCCTTGGAGATTATTGCAGCATACTCTAGCAGAACTTTATTAATAGTCTGTAAAAGAGGGGAAAAAGTCCAACCGCAAGAAGCAAATACTTATCATTATCAATTCCAAAGCACTTACTGCATCACAATGCAACAAAATATTCATTGTGTACACTAATATAATCATAACACATTATATAACATTCATAACATAAAAGCTAGTTTAAACCTACAAACAGAACTAGATAAAAACGAAAATTAACCCTTATATAACTCTAGAAAAAAATCATTTAAAATGGAAAATATTTGTTCAAAAAACATACAGTACAGACACTCCTCACTTAAAAACCAAGTTCCATTCCGATGGAAAAAGTCGTTAATCGAATTGGTCAATAAGTGAGGAGCCGCCCCTTACCGATGTTTGAAACATACTGTACTGGTAGTGGCTTTGTGTCAACCATCATTAGATATTGTTTTAATGTCACCTTTTCACCATTTTTAACGTTTAGTATATTTATAAATGTTTATACAGTAGTGTACTGAATTTTGTAATAAACAGTGTGCTACTCCTTTTTATTTTTTATATTTAAACTAATAATTTAACTTCTATTTCTAGTTTTTTATTGCTAGGTTCTGAATCTCAAAAATATCCTGGTCACTCTGCTATGCTCTCAACCAGCAGTGAGGAACCCCCAGGGTGTACGTGCCCTGATGTTTGCCTTGGGGCCTTTTACACTGAATGACTTCAACAAGAAAAAGGGGAAATTTAAAAACAAGGAAAATGAATCTGAGACTCACCCAACCCGGTGGGTAATTAGAAGTGTTGTGGATGGTTGAGCCATGCCAATTGTGTATGATGTTATAGACAGTGAGCAAAAACCGCAGCTCCCTATACTGACATTTGTCCGGAACGAAATGAAACGGACCCAACTGGAAAATTTGTCTGCTGTGACTATAAATAAGTCAGCATTACTGAGAAAGTCCATGTGACCTTTTAGAGTTAATTATAAAATGTCACAGCAACGCAGTAGCAGTCGTCCCTCAGAAGAAGTTGCGGGTATATCACTGTCCTGTCCCTCTATCGTTTCCTTAGCTGGAAATCAGCTCTCTAGCCGCAGGGTAGGCTCCAAGCCCACCAGCCTCACCTTGGCAAATCGACACATAAAGTGGCCAAGGGCCTGGGGATTGGGACACTCCAGCTTCCTGATGATCTCAAAGCTCTGGTTGAGTTGTGCGAAGACGTCCACCACAGAGCAGGAGAAGAGGGCATGATCAGAGGTCTGCTGGAACTGCAGTGGAGGAGGCCGGAGGGGAACCAGAGAGAAAATCCAGTGGGAACCCTGGTGTAAACTATTTCCTTCATCTCAGGACACAAAAAGTTTTTTTATTTTTTATATATATATATATAAACGGTATGACACTGGAATTTGCACTTAACCGGATTTAACTCTGACAAATGCTTATTAATGATCTTAATGTATAGCAGAACATTACAAGCTGAAGAAAACTCCTTAAGATGGTGGCAACAATCCTTGAGATTTGTTTTTCCTAGTCTGGGTTGTGAGGTCAACAGAAGATTCCTTTTTAACTCCGCAAACTGTATTTTGTGTTGATGTGCCTTAAATTCCCAGGAGTTCAAAAGAGTTCTTCATATATTGAAGGAAATCCTTTATTTAACAGGAAACCAATATTTTCCACCTATGACACTACATCATCTGTAAGTTTTACTTACACCGTCCTTTTTGTCTCTTTCCAAAGCTCCGTTCAGGAAGTCCATGGAAACATCTTCATTCTCATCTAACCACTGAATGACAAAGGGTTCAAACCACCTGCAAGGAGCGAAGATAAAGACCTCACATCAGAGCAGAAGGTGGTCTTCCTACATGGGACATGGGACACCATGTATGGCACCTGTATCCTTAGTGGGATTTTGTGGACTTGCAGGAAAGTTACAGCATGTTGTAGAGAGATCTGAGCAGGAAGGGAGGCCTTCTCTTCCCTAACGAGGTGACACGTCAGGTGATGGTGTCTACACACAGCGTAACACCTTTTCAGCGAGGATGCAACTGGGAGCCCGTCCCCGAGGAAAGCGGAATTTAAAAATTCATTGCTGCCGGAGAAACAGCGTGACTGCAGTGGTGGAATTATGGGGGAATCCATTCCCCGGGAATGCTTATTAACTACAAAATGTATTTCTCGTAAAAGGAGCAAAGAAATCAAGTTACACATATACCTGCTCATGAAAAAGGCACAAAATATATCCATTTTGAATTATTTCTTAAAGTATTCAAGCATTGATTTTCCTGCTTTACAGAGAGCCAGAATATTATATAGCACATAACTCCTTCGAAGGGTAGCAATAAATCTTACCATAGAAAAAGGACGACTTCTAAATTATTCCCTGATAAATATGCAGAAGCGTATGACAGAGACATCCAATTAAAACCGTTCACTCCACCACGCAAACAGAAGCAGAGGAGAGGCAGGGAGATGGCAGGGAGAAAAAGGAGACTGGAGACAGGGGGGCATCAGGGAGATGGGGGGAAAGAAGCAGGAGAAGCCAGGGAGCAGTAGGAAGATGGTGGGGAGAAGCAGGAGATGGGAGAGAGGAGCATCAGGAAGATGGGAGAGAATCAGGAGAAGCAAGCAGCAGGACTATGATGAGAAGAACCAGGAGAAGGCGGAGAGCAGTAGGAAAAATCAGAGAGAATCCGGAGAGGCAGAGGAGTAGTAGGAAGATGGTGGAGAGAAGCAGAGGACGGGAGATTGTGGGGAGAAGCAGGAGTAGCAGAGGAGTAGTAGGAAGATGGTGGAGAGAAGCAGAGGACGGGAGATTGTGGGGAGAAGCAGGAGTAGCAGAGGAGTAGTAGGAAGATGGTGGGGAGAAGCAGAGGACGGGAGATTGTGAGGAGAAGCAGGAGTAGCAGAGGAGTAGCAGGAAGATGGCGGGGAGAAGCAGGGGAGGGAGAGAATGGCCGGAAGATGTTATGATTAGAAGAGCAGGTACTGAGAGAGGGCATCATCTGTCTCATTGTACCTCTTTGCAAATTATGACCTGTAATACAAAGAGGGATTACTTATCCTTCAGAAAAACATCTCATGAAAAACCAGGGAAGGAGGGTCAAATGGTGACCGTATTGGGAACACAGGTTGCTTTTCATTTCCATGTTCAGTGGCAGAAGGACCTGTTTGGCCTAAGTCAAAGAGCACAACAGTGGGATACCTACAGAGAATACTCCGGAATGGTGTCCTTGAATGCAGCCAGGTCCCGGACATACTCATTATGAAACCATTTCACTTTGAAGTGCAGATTCATGTATTCAGTGCTCTTACAAAGACGGTGTTTCTCATGTTCTGTAAGTATAGAAGAGCAACACAAAAAGCAAAGTCAGCACAAACATTTGTGAATGAGCAGCTTTTGCCCCCCCCAACCAACCAGGTGATATCATTAACATATCAGCCAAACAAACGGAGGGAGCTGGTACCTTAATACAATAAGAATTGCTACAGTAGTAAATACATAATGTAATACAGAAACAAGTGTCTTGATCACAGACTGCGGTCTGTCACTCTTTCAGCTTTCCCACTTCAAGACATTTTTATCCTTAGAAAAATTTCAATCGAGTAAGACAGCTGGACATCATTAATAGAAAAATTTGCATTCAGCTGTGATACAGAAACAGCTCATAAATAAAACTAAGGAAAATAGTCTCTGGATATAAAAGACAATGGTAATAAGGACAGACTGAAGCTGAACCATGTGGATTTAGATTTTAACAACAGATTTTATCAGCTGTTCATTTATTATCTGCTCAGAAGCGCAACAAAGAGAGAGAGGACACGCCAGACAGACAGCCTTAACATTAAAGGTTAAGGGATTGTCAGAGAGCAGCACAGCAGCTCAGGCAACTTAAGAAAAACTGGATTGGCATTGCTGGTTGGCGCACCAAATGCAAGGTGGATTACATACACGATGAAAGACAAACTGGATAAAGGGTGTACCTCACTGTCTGACCAGGAGAGCCATGCTAACTCCAGGGCATGCTGAACATCCTTTGGGAAGCCAAGCACACGGGCCCAGCCCCTGATTTTATCGTGCGTATTCACTACAAATGGAAGGGCTGAACATTACTCTTAGCTCCAAGGGCACAGAATACCAACCCATCAAAAAAGAGGCCTGTTATTGAAAAAGGGAAATTCACTTCATAAAAGGTCAATTCTTCTCAACTATAGAACAGACCAAAATAAATCTTCTCCGTTGGCTGGATTAAGCTACACACTTACACAAACGCACAGGCACACATATGCACACGCACACACGCACACACACACACTTCATTCACCAAAGCCCTGTATAACTACACTTAATGTCCTGGAGGCAGAGAAGCACTTATAACAAACTATTGTAATTGAAAAAAACCTGTGGATGTGAAGAATATTTATGAACAACACAATCCAACAGCAAGAAATACAGGAAATGGAAACAGCTGAGATAAAGGACCTAGGAAATAAAAAAGCCTGCAAAAATACTTAATTACAAATGTTTTCCTAAAGATAATCCATGCACAGTGCATCTCCATACATGTTGACCAATCAGATGGTGATGTTGGTTTAGTCACACTTTTGCCCTACTAGAAAGCAGGGCCATGTTAGCATGGATACAGCTTGGATAATTTACAATGGAAAAGCATCTCCTTAGCGTACAGTTTGGTTCTTGGTGGCAAAGAGCCATAAGAGCACCATGCTCCATAGAGAAAACCACAATCTCTTGATCAAATCAAGCCTGAACCTCAAAACTAGCGACAAAAAGGATGGATTCGTTGTCACAACAATGAACAAGACTTTGGAAAGAGTTCCTGGACCTGCAGAATGGCTGTCAGGAGCCAAGATCGACGTAATGCCTCTGAATAATAATACCAAATATAATCTAAAGGTGCTGAAAAGGTAATCGAACCTAACTTAGATCAATGAGTGAATTGTGGCAATTCGAGCTCAAATTTGAGGAAGGTGGTTTCCTAAAATTAAGATCTTGTTTCACAGCTGAAATGGTTCAGCTCAGCACATCTTTCAGTAGAGGTTTGGTATTTCCAGTCTGTCTCACATCTTAGACCGCAGAAAGGCAATGCCACTCTACTTGTAAATATACAGTCGACCCTTCTGCTTCGCGACGTTCACCATCGTGGTTTGAATATAATGCAGGGAAGGCATAAGAAATTATATAGGAATTTTTTGGGAGTGTTTTGAAAACCACAGACGACATGCAAAGGCCAGCAGACAAGGCAAGAAAAGTTTAATAATTGCATAAAATATACATACAGTGTTGGTTTGGAGGACGCCGAACGTGTTTACGGCAGCCTCTCACGGGATATCTCGTGTTTGTATCTCATGTTACTCGTATTTTTTATTTTTTTTACTTCGCTCTGCTTACCAAGGGGACCAAAGTATTTTATTGGGGGGGGTGTGCCCCACCATGTGGAAGGGTCGACTGTAATAATACCACTTTTTATCTTTTTCTGTTATGCTTCCTGCTCTTTAAGCCCCCTTTAGGAATTCAGAACACAAACATTAATCTTAAAGACACTAGCACATTTACAGAGTACTCCATTCTAAGTAGGGGAGACAGCGAGAGTATTAACACCACCTTCTCTAGAAGGGAGCATCATTAAATATTTAGGTGTCAGAAACTATTTCAGCCAGCTGTAACCTGCCACTCATTCCATTTTCGCCGTCTGACAAATGTTTTTATTCAGGGTGTAACTACTTGTCAAGATTCTGGTCACAGCCCCCCGGGCTTAGGGTTAGGGGGTTACAGTTTGTGAAGAAAACAATGAATATATTTACAGAGGGAAAGCGTATTTGTTTATTTAGTGAAAGCATAAATCTTTCTGCATTTTATATTTTGTAGGCACAGTTTCCTTCAGTTTCATTTTGATAGAATATTACATTTTCCCTGGTTGTTATACCAAGACCTTTAGACTAACAGACTATGGAGACCCAGAGGGGATGAGAGAGATGAGAAATCAAGTGGGATGGTGCCACTTTATGAACTAGCTGGCTGGCTGGCACTGGACTGAGCCTTCACTGCCTGGCTTCCATCTGAACCTCACTGGACTGCACTGCAGATAACAGGAACCGATGACCCAAAGCTGTGTTCCACGTCATCCCACAGGGAGCCTGCAGAGAAACCTTCATATCTATTCTTGATTTTTTTTTTTCTCCTCATATTCTTTCTTTGAACTGCTTGCCAGTGAAGGTTGCTGTTATCTGGTGAAGGAGCAGACAGAGCCCTTTAGACATTGGCAATGTAAACAGGAAGCAAGGCCTCCCGGGTCACGATGGCCCCGAGGTCCAGCAGGACTTCCACTCACACTGTGACCCCTGTCGCCTCTGACGATACTTGTCCTCAGCTTAGAGCAACAAATGCATGAGGGAATTCAGGTGGAACAAACAGTCCCTCCTCCTCTCAACAGGATGCTCTTAACTGCATGCAACAGAATGGCCCAGACATCCTGGGACACCGCAAGGATGCTGTGTCCGAGAGCGCCTTTCTTGTTTAAAAGAAACCCAGGTGGAGCGGAGCGGGGCAAAGCAAGTGGCTGCTTTAAAAAATGGAGGCAGGCCACAGCACTTTACAAGAGCCTGTACTGTTTCCATCTCAATGGATCTTCCGCAGGTCTTTCAGCCTTTCACAGAAGGCTGTGTGTGTGTTACAGAGCAAAGACGTCAGCTTTGGATACTGACATAGACTCCGACATGAATATCTGGTGAGCAACACATAAATTCAGACTATTACAGTCACAATTCTTGATGATAATTTGAAGTTTCTTTAAGACAAACTGATAATAGAAAACTCACTGCCCCACACCCTAGTCTTACCACACTGCATCATTCACCACAAACAACAGAATGACTACATTTTGTTTTACCATAATGCACAGTCCTGCTGGGCTCTTATGTGGTGCCGAGTGCTGATATTTCTCATTAGCAGTGCTGCTTGCATTATTAGTGCACTGTGTATTTCATACAGAAATCATTCCTATTGCTTTTGAAATAGATGCACTTGGGGAATGAAGCCGATTGCTCATGTATAATAAACACCTAATACTGCCGAGGTTTCACAATGCTGTCCAATTTCACAGAGCCTTCTCATTACATAAATATATATGCATGGGGTCTGGCTGGGAGAGATCAGCAGTAATGAAATGAGAGGACCTGTAATTGCTGAGTAACATTTGCATTTGGACGGGTGATGGACACGCGCACAAAAGCAGCCTCCATCCAATAGGGGAGTGTTAAGAAACGTTCACTCCCCTGAACGCAGAGTGAAGACAGCCTGTCAGGCAGCTTCACTAGGAAGTGCGTACGAAAAAAAGGGGGTGTGAGTCCTGGCCGATGCCCTATGCCGCTGCAAACTAACTGTGGGGTAACGCGACACGAACAGAGTAAAAAGTTATTAGATAAATGAGTGTTGTTTGCATTTGTAATTGTTACAGGTAAGGCACATTATTAGCAGTCAGTCCCTGTCATTAGTCATTCCTGAAACATAAATGGTTAACTATTTCAATGACTTTTCCAGACCACTTAAGGTACTAGTACCAACTAAATAAATCTGCATTAATATTCATATTTAACATTAACCCATAATATCATATGCAACTTTGCACATTAGTTTTAGTTTGCCCTAAATCTCACCTGTCTGACTCCATTACTAAAATGAGCACAGAAAGACTGAGAACACCAAGCACTGACATGAAGACTATTTAATAAGAAAAATTGAAGAAACGTTTTGTAAAAACTGCCCAAATACTTTCGAAAGATTTTTTTGCTGACACTGTGCTTTGTGTACAATGTCACATAATTTCCATTAACACAAAATATATGGATTCTCATAAGCATATTTGAAATAGATATTACTATAGATGGAGTTCTCATTAAAAAAGAAGTCCACACATCCTCGAGATTTAACTCTAAATAAATGTAGCAGAATGTGTTCTCTGGGCATACAAACAGCATAAAAACCATGGGGTACTGTGTGTCTTGTGTGACTTTGACCGAATGCAAGAAAGCTGTTTCTGTGAGTGAAACTGAGAAGAAAAAACCAGACACTGGGCAGAGGAAACAAAAGTGTCAGAATTGCAGTCAAGTCTAATTATCCCACAAGGGCAGGAATAGGAGTCTTATCTGGTGCATATTTAGAAAGCATCAATACAATTACTTTGGGGAAGAACAGAATGTGTCCTTCGAACACTAAAAAGATAAACACGGTTAAACCATGGATGAGACAAGGTTGTATTCGGCTAAGTGTAAAATATCTACAACCCTGAGATATGTTCACCAGCCATGAACTGTCAAGT